AGTTTGATGGTGACACTGGTGCAGGAGAATCCAGAAGGAAAAATGGGAGACATGGGGACTCCCAGTATATTGAAGCAGAACCAGATTTAGGTTCCAAGAATTCTTAGTCCAGTGCTAATCTGGCTGCAGTGAGGGAACTAGAGTCAGAGGTAGTCCCCACCTCCCCACCCCTGCCTTATTAACTATACCCTGTCCCCCTGAGATCCAGCTATAGAAAATGGGTCATCTCAGCAGGCCTCCATCTTTGAATGGAGAAGGCTTGGCTCCTTTTCCCCACCCCATGATAACCCTAGGGCAGGTGCTGGGGAGCTGGGGAGCTCATCCACCCTGAATATCTCCCAGTCTTGCTTGTATTGGGGGAGAAACAGGAGGTTGTTCTCCGGAGAGGACATCTCCCTCCTGGGCTGCAGGACAAGAGTCTCAGCCTGATGGGGCCTGGCAGGACCCAAACCACACAGATGGGATTGAAAACACTGAGTCAGAAACATGTAGATGTCTGAGCCCTGCAGGAGGCAAGGCCAAAGCTTCCCAGGTGCTTTCTTGTCCCTCTCTTTGTCCTTCAGAATGCCAGGGTCAGGTGAGAACACCATTCCTTCCCACATCCTTCCACTGACTTTCCCCCTCTTGACCCTCAAAATTTTGTTATGTGAGCCAAGGGGGAAAATATGAATGAGCAGGTGGTATCAAGGAGCTAAGGGGATCCTGGGAGCAGGGCTCAGGGCCAGGAAAGGTCCCTCATTCATCACTCACACATTCATTCATTCATTCATCCATTCATACATTCAGTAGGCAAACTCACTGACTCCTCCTGTGTGCCCAGAGATTGACAAGGCTGACCTGAGTTCATGGCCCCAACACCCTGCCTGAAGGACTCACTGAGATCCCTCAGGGTGATGCAGGAGCTGGAAGTGGGGGACAGCTCCTGCTGGTGGCAGCAGCTCACTTCTGGACAGCATGGCTCAGATTACATGTGAAAAGAAGAGATGAGGTGCTGTGGGATCGATCACTGAAGAGGGAACTTGACTCAGCTCAGAAATCAAGAGAGACTCCTGAGGGTGGGGGAAACTGGGAACTGAGGGGACAGAACTGGCCTCTCAGAGGCCACAGGCACTAGCCAGGCTGTAGAGGAAGCTTGGGGTCCAGAAAGGAGAAACTAGAGTCACAAAGGGCTGGATTCTTGGAGGAGATGGTACAAGGTGCCTGGCTACCACAGTCTTGCCCACTGCCATGATATCCCAGTGTCCGGCATCCAATCTTCTCTCAATCCTGGGGAGAATGGGACCCAGCCAAGGGCTGGGAATGAGGCTTAGTCTCTGGCAGGATCATGGTGACCCTTTTCTTCAGAACTTCTGGAGACATGAGTGGAGATGAACATGAGGTTGATCCTAGGAGACTTCCCCAGGGAAGGCTCTGTCACCCTACCCAGTGGCACCTTCTCTTGTCCTCTGTCACCCTTGGGAGACACTCCTGTGATGCCCCAGGCCTCCTGCACTGCTCTGACTCTATTAGTCTGTGAGGGCACCATGCCTCCCAATCCCTTTACTGGCCAGCTCAGCAAAGACTCCAGTTGTCCCAGTTTTACTAATGGGAAAACCAAGGCCCTAAGTTAGGTCTCTTCGGTAAGGTAAACTTGAATCACATTGAGCCCAGACTGATCTAATTTTCCAACTCCTATCACAATGTGTGAGGGCAGGCCAGATGATGAGAGAAAAACTCGGAAGGAGCTTAGACCACAAGGCACATGCCCAAGCAAGAAGAGGCCAACTCCAGACAAAGATCTAACCCAGGGTCTTGGACTTTAATGTTTGGGAGCAGTACTACTGTGGGGGTGTGCAGCTATCCATATTTTCTGGTGCAGACCCTTTCTGTTCCTAGAAATGTACCCCACTCCCTGCCCAAGACAGTAGGAAGTGACAGGGCTCTGCATGTCTGTGGGAAGAGACATCGGGGCTTTGGTCTTCCTTCCCCTACTGCTGGCCTCTTCTCTGACTCAGAGGTTGCTGGCTGGTGGGGATAGTGTGTAATTTCAGCTGCTCAAGAGGCTGAGGCAGGAGTATCGTGAGTTCTAAGCTAGCCTGTTCAACTTAGGCCATGCCTCAAAGTAAAGTTTAAAAAAATGAAATTGGAGGGACCACTCAGCAGTGGAGTGCTTCCTTAACATGCTCAAGGATCTGGGTTCCTTGAGTGCAAACAAGAGTGATACTAACAGTAATAATGAAGTTGGGTTGGAGCCCAGGCTCACATCCAGGTCCTAATTCCTAAGGGTGGTACTCTGCATGCTTGCCTTGCTGCCTCCCCTTGGCAGAGTAGCAAGCAGACTTCTTAAAGGAGGAGTCCAGTGCCCACCTTTGCAATGCTCCCAAGCCCCCATTCGATACCTCTTTGCTTGACATTCTGACTGACCAGGACAGAAGATCAAAACCAAAAGATGTAAGGATCCCAGAGGATCTTCCTCACATGCTTGCTGGTGAGGGAAGAGTGATGAATGAAAAAACACAGGGCTGAGGCTTTGGAGAGGAAAGACACTGCCCTCTTGTTGGGGGACAGCTAAGGGTCTCCTATGAATAATGAAACCGCAGGAGTCGGGGAGATAGCTCAGTAGAATAAGCGCTTCCCTGGCAAGCACAAGGGACTGAGTTCAATCCCCGGTTCTGAAAAAAAAAAAAAAAAAGAATAAAACTGCCATCTCAGAGAGACCACAACTGATTACCTAACAACCTTCAGCTCCCTGGCATACAGTGAGAGAGGAGCAGGACTCAAGACTGCTCAGAGGGCACATCAGAGCGCACCTCACCCGCAAGTTACATCCACCCTGCTCACTTCTGCTGCCTCTGCCAGGTTGAAAGCACACAGCTCTTGTGGGAGAAGTCTTCATGGCTTCATTGGCTTTAGACAGTGGCTCCCACCAGCTGTGACTGGTGCTCTTGGGCTCCTTCAGCTACCAATCACAAGCCTGTGCTTTTCCACCATTAGGGCTCACTTCTGGCTCTACATTCCTGCCAAGACCCTTAAGGGTTTGTGGAAGTCTGGGTACAACTTGACCTACTGAAGCACCCAAAGCCATGCCAAGGGGACAGTGCTTCTTCCATTCCTGGCAGCAAGGTGCCCTGAGGGGGAACAGATCCTACCGAAAGAGATGGCTTCAAACCCCAATCAGCTTCTAGGACTCCCTGGTTGGCCCTGGCCCCGCTGAGGGCAATTCTTTTTACCTCAGCAAATAGTATTGAGTCTCACTAGGTATAAAGGTTTATGCTAAAGCCAGGCAGGTGGTGCATGCCTATAATCTTAACTGCTGAGGAGGCTGAGGCAGAAGGATCATGAGTTTGAGGTCAGTCTGGACAACACAGCTCAACTCCATATCAAAGAAAACCAAAAAATCTCTAGGCTAAACTGAGGTTATAGAGCTGAATCAGACACCAGATCTGCCCCACAGATTATCCAAGTCAAGTTGTTGGTGCTTGGGAAGGTGGGCGCAGAACTAGAAACAGACAGAAGTCATCAACTCTTCTTAGATGGGAGTCCAAGACAGGAGGGTTCAGTTCCATGCAGGGAGAAGGATGGGGAGGGCCATCAGGAAACAGGCAGAGAAACCAGGAACATTTGCCCCAAAGAGACATCAGGAACCCAATCTGTGGATGGGGAAACTGAGGCTCACACTGGGGAAGTGACTTGAGCAGGGTCCATTGGTAAGGTAGTGGCAGGGCCCTTTGGATGGTACCAAGTGCCCTTTCCTGTTTTTAGTATTGTGATCCCTGTGTCCTAACTCCGCTTTTGGATTTAAAAAAAAAAAAAAATGACATCTTTACCTGGTGGTCAGCCAGAGGTACCGGCTCAGGCTCCGGAACCAGGCTCTGCTAATCTTCCTGAGGCAGAGGCTGCATGGCCTCCTTTCAGGCCTAGAATGGGGTGGTTGCGTTTTTCTCTCTCTCTCTCTATCTCTCTTGCATTTTTGTGAATCTAATGATGAACTTATGCTACCACACTTTTCCCTTCTCTTACACACCTTACCTACTAAAGGAGGAAGTGCCACTTTATTGGTAAGTGGACGTTAACCAAGAGGGACTTAAAAAAAAAATCAGAACTTAAAAAAAAAGGAAAAGAAAAAGAAAAGAGAGAAACAGAAAGACAGTCGGGTGCTACTGACAGCTCCAAAGCTCTCTGCAGGGCCACAGAACAAAGAGAAAAATGTTAACAGAAAAAAAAAAATGTCAGGTTTCCCAGAAGATCATTGTTTTTGATTTTGGTATCTAATGACATTTGTGGATTTGTTTTTTTTTTTTTTTTTTTTTTTTTCTTTCTTTCTGTTTTTTCCTCCCTTTCTTCGGTTAAGTTTTGAGTTCAGTTATCCCGCCCCACTCCCACCCCATCTGTGTGCCGTGTGACCCCCCTTCCATCCCCTCTGCCCACCCCCTTGCGCTGGGGGGCCTGGCCTGGTGGTCTGGCCCTGGCCCGGCCTCCCGGTGCCGCCCTCTCTCTTCTCTTTGCCGGGAATCGTCCATCCCACGCGGAGGGCAATGCCAGCCCCGGTGCCCTTCCTGGAAACACCTACCCTGCAGCTCCCACCCCACCGCTCCGTCCCTCTTGTGTTTTGCATGCCGAGAACCTTTTGCATGAGCTGCACTGTTAAGGCTAGAAAGTGAACACTCAGGAGAGGCAGAGGCAGGGCAGGCGCGGGGAACCGTGTGCGCGATGCTCCGGGACTGGCAGCCCGCGGCCCGAGCCCGGTGAAAGCCCTCTCTCCTTTTCTCCCCCCACCCCACCCGCCCGCCCGCTTTCTCACCCACTCTCACTCTTTCTTTGGATCTGTCCTGCTTCCTATCTTTCCTCTCTGCTTCTCTTCTCCCTGGCGCTGTCCCTGCCTCTCCTCTCTGCATCTTTCCTCTTCTCTGTGTTTCCATCGCTCCATCGACACTTCTCTGCGCTCTGTCTCCCCGGCCCATCCTTGCCCGTCTCTGTCTCTCTCCGCCCCTCCGTGCCCTCTCTGCCTCTCTCCCCGTCAGAAGCCCAGCTCGCCCTCGCCCAGGGCCCGCGACAAGGCAGCGGCTGCTGCACCCACACCGCCCACGCGGGACAAGGACAGCCCGAGTCCACGCTCGGCGCCCTCATCGCAGGGCCGCGGAGGTCGCACGGTGGGCGGGGCAGCCAGGCGGCGGCGGCGACGGAGAAGGAGGCGGCGATCACGGTCCTCGGCTTCCGCGCCCCGCCGCAGGGGTCGCAGGCGCCCCCGGCCCGCGCCGCCCCGGGACTCTTCGCGCTCACTAAGCCGCGCGCGCTCCAGCAGCGACTCGGGCGGCGATGTCCCGGGCCCTGGGCCAGAACCGGACTCGGAGCGAGGCCACAGCGGACACGGGAAACGGTGAGCCCGGCTGCAGCCCCACTCCCGTGGCCACCTCCCCACTGAGCTTTGAGCCCCCCACACTGCCTCCCAACAGGTTCCCCTCTGCTGGCCTCCACGGTCACAAGTGTTCCCCCACTCTTCCGCCCTCTTTCCCCTCCCCCCAAAGGAACACTGCCTCCACTGAACTCCCCTCTTTCCCAATAACTCTTCTTTCTCCACCGATCCTCCACCGACCCTCTTCCAACACCCCAGTCCCCACCCGGCTCCTGCGGATTGCTCTTTCCTCACTGCCTCCGCCTCTTGGCCCCTCGCAGGCTCCTCCCCTCCAGCCTAAGCTCCGCCCACACTGCCCCCTCTAATCCCGCCCCCTGCCCACACCTCCCCCCAGGGTCAAGGAACGGCCTCAGCGCGCGCGCCCCGCCAGCAACTCGCCGTCCCCGGGCCCTCACAGCAGGGGTCCGGAGGGTAAGAGTTCGTCGCGTAGTCCTGGTCCCCACCCCCGATCCTGGAGTTCCAGCCGATCGCCATCTAAGTCTCGCTCGCGATCCCCGGAAAAGAGGGCCCGCAGCCCCAGCCACTCGCCGTCGCCCAAGAAACCCCTCAGCCGGTGAGTGGCCGCTCCCCGCGTAGACGCCACAGGGGCAGCACGGAGGGAGCAGGTTGGGAACCAGGACCTCTAGGAGGCGCACGGCGGGGATCCAGGCGGAGGACGCTTACAGCTGGGAGCCCCACCGTGTAACTCAACCCAGCCAACCCCGCAGAGACAAAGACAGCGAGGGCCGCGCGAGACACACCGAAACTGAAGCCGCCCGCGCCCGGCGCCGCTCCCGTAGCTACTCCCCCATCCGCAAACGGCGCCGTGACTCACCCAGCTTCATGGAGCCGCGGCGCATCACCAGGTGCGGAAGGACCGGGGGTCCGAGGACCTGGGACAGGGGCCACTGACCCAAAGTCAGTGACCAGGGACCTCGGGGATGAGGTTTCGCCAGGCCGGGGACTTGGGCGGGAGCATTTTGAGGAGAGGACGTGGGCTCAGGGAAGAGAATTGAGATTAGTGGAGGCAGAGAAATAGGACTGGAAAGTCTGGGACCTGGGAGATCAGACACCTTCAAGAAGGGAAAGGTTTCCAAGGGGACCCAAAGCCCTTGGAGGAGAGGGCGCCTTGTCCTTGGGTCTGGATGGGCAGCAGCAGGCACGGAGCTCAGCCCTGGAAGATTCTAGCCATCCCTCTAGAGTCCTCTCCCCGTTCCTCCTTCCATCCCCCACCCCACCCCCCACCCTCATCCCCGGACAATGATATCTACTTTTTTCCTTCATCCCAAGGTCCAGCCTGCCGAGTGGCCTGTGGCCAGCCTGGGGGCCAGGTGGACCCCTCTGCACAGGCTGCCAGGGAGATGCCCGTGTGAGCTGGTCTGGCTTTGGTCAGCTGTCCGTCTGTCTGCCTCTCCTTTCCTCACTAACCTCCCAGCCCCCTGGGGACTTGGAGGAGGGGGCAGAGCAGTTGGGTGGTCTGGAGCAGCTGTCCAAGGACCTCCACACAGTCCAGTGAGACTGTGTCCAGGGTGGAGCCAGTTGGGGGGAAGCCATACCATCAGGGCTTTTCTTTGAGGACTACAGGGTCTCCAGGGGAAATAGTGGTGCATCTTTGTGCAAATGTTCCTGAGGTTTGGAAGTATCCTGGGATGAGGGAAGGTCACAGGTGAACCTCTGAGCCCAGCTCCGCTGCTTTCTTGCCGGGCAGCCTGAGGAGATCAATGTGCCATTCTGAGCCTTAGTCTTAATAAGCAGAGGTCCAAAGCATCATCTCAACCCCAACAGGGTCTGGTTGTCAAACTAGGCCTTCCTAGTTCTGAGTTATGGGGGTTTCCGAGAAAGAAGAGGGTATCGCCTCCTTCCACCCCAGACCTCTAAACCTAGGACACATATAGGTCACACTGCCACCCAAAGACAGCCAGACCTCAAATCTTCCACCCAACACCCACCTCAGCCCTCCCCCTGGGTACCTCCTCCTCCCACTAATGCACCCTTCTTTTTTCTTCAGAATTAACCCCCCAGATGGGATGCTGTAGACCCCTTAACCACTCTTTTCTTTTCTCTGGGTCACAGCCTCCTGCCTTCGAACTAACTCCGGGCCAAGGGGAGGTAGCTGAGTGAAGAGTGGTGGGGCCAGCGGGACTGGGCCAGGATTGGGGTGTGGGCAGCAGTGGCCAGGAGTTCCCCTGTGCTCCCTTTGAGATACTTATAAAGCTCAAATCCTCCATTCAGTGGGGGACAGAGAAACAGGGCTGAGCTGTGTTCCTAAGTACTTCCCTGTTAAGAAGCCGAGCATATCGTCAATGGAAGAGCACTTGCCTAGCACATGCAAGATCCTGAATTCAGTCCTGAGTGTACATGGGGAGAAAAGTCATCACTTAGCTTCGCTGATGTGAGTCATTCATATTTAAAAGTTTCATGTAAGCTGAGCATCATGGCACAGGCCTGTCACCCCGACACTGTGACAGTCTAAAGCAAGAGGATTGAACATTCAAGCCCAGCCTGTCCAACTCAGTAAGATCCCTTCTCAAAATAAAAAAGGATGGTGTAAAAACTCTGGGTTCAATCCCCAGTACTGGGAGGTGGAGTAGCTCAACAAAAGCATGCATAGACAGTACCCAGACCAAGCAAAGACTTGGCTTCTTTTCCTACAGTTGGGCAAAGAAAAGCAAAATGATCAGTGTGGAATTGGAATTGACAAGTGACTCAAATTCTGTTTGGAGAGTTGTGTATCTCAAAGGCCAGGGTTCAAGGGAAACAGGGAGGAGACCCCCTGGCTGCTGCTGGGATGAAACTCAGGGACTGAGTGAGGGTACAGGTTAGGCAGAGCTCAGGGCCTTGGCTGGCCTGCCCTATAACACGCTTTTCCCTCCCTCCCGGCAGTGCCCGGAAACGGCCCATCCCTTACTACCGGCCCAGCCCCTCCTCTTCCTCCAGCTGCCTAAGCAGTGACTACTCAAGCCGGAGCCCCAGCCCCAGCCCCAGCCCGGGGCACAGCCACGGAAGCTACAGCAGTCGCAGTCGGACCCGAAGCCACACACACAGCCCCTCCCGAAGCCCCAGTCCAAGCTACCACAGCCGAAGCAGCTCTGAAAGTGGGGGCTTCTGAGCCCAGCCAGACCTTGGGGCCACCTGGAAGAGGAAGAGGCCAAACCCTGGGACTGGGTTGGGGGGGCTGTACCCCCTACAAAGAGCTCTGGAGCCAGCATGTAGGCAGATGGGGCGGGGAAGACTTTGAAAGCACCCTGTCCACAAGAAGGAGCCTTGATCGCACTGCTCCTGACAGGTGCCCACCCCTACCCCCATCTCATTCCTACCTTCATGTCCAGGGAACAAAGAGCCGTTGCGAACACAGGGAGCACCCTGCCCCCACTTCCTGCTTGATGCCCACTTACCAGACTGGGCACTGGCACAAGAGTCGACAGTCTGCTGTGACCCTTCACCTCCGCTCAGTGAGCCTGGGAACACCTCAGAAGGTCCCCACTCTGGGAACCTCCCCTCCCCACCTTTCCCTCATTGGGCAGATGAGGTGGAACAGCAAGCTACACTGGACACAGATGGATGGAAATGTCCCAGCTATGGGTGTGCCACTAGTCAGGCTAGGGAATCGCTCCCTTCTGAGGTGGCTGCAGGAGACCTCGCTGAGGAGCCCCAAGCCCCTCCCTTGCCCTAGTCTGGGCTGCCCAAAGCCGTCTCTACAGCCCTCACGCCATGCCCTGGGCTGAGGCAGTGGAAGCCAGGCCTGCAGCATGACAAGAGGACAGGGGAACTGTTCCCCTATGCATCTGACCCTGAGATCCAAGGGGTTCAGAACAGGAGGTGGCAGAGGACATGGGACAAAACAGTGGAGTTGACAACCAAGCTGGTCATGGAGAGCTGGGAGGGGTAGGAGGTGCTCAGTGGTCCTCAGCTCTGCTAGGAGAATAGCAGCAATGGGTCACAGGCTCAGGACCACAGGATGGCACTCCGTGGGCTTCTGGGCCATCTCGACAGTGCCTGCTCCCAGGCATGATGGGACGTGGTTGGCCCAGGCTCCCAGAGCAGGGGCGGTGCCGCCCTCCACCAGGGCTGGCCATTTACCCCACCTCTTCTGTGGCTCCCAGCCCCGGCCTCCTGGGGCCCTCAGGGATCTCACAAAGTCTTCCTTGCCCAATGGGGCAGATGCCCTGGGCCCTGGTGGGGGGAGGGGTCTGGTCCGCGTTCCCCTTCTATTTCCCCTCCCCCTCTCTCCGCGGTGCGGATTAAAAATGGACTACAATAATAAACAGTCGGTGCCCGGATGGCAGGTGGGGAGACCAGCCCTTTCTATGAATTTGAGCACTCGGGGAGGTTGGGATAGGTAAGATGTCCTGGGATCCTTTACACTGTGGACTGAGAAGTGATACTTAGCTGATCAAGAAGCTGAGGCAGGAGGATAGCTAGTTCAAGCCCAACCTGCGTAATTTAACAAGACCCTGGCTCAAGGTGAAAAATAAAGGCCTGGGGCCATAGCTCAACACAAAGGCTCTGGGTATAATTCCTAATACCCACAAAACAAAAAGCTATTACCATGTTTCCAGGCCTAAGAATGTGTTTGGAGAAGCTCTCACGATTTCCTTTAACACTTTACCCATGTTTAGCAAAACTAGGCTTGGGGGGTCAGGGAGATGGCTCAGTGGAATAAGAGCTTCCCGAGTTCAATCCCCGGTTCCACCAAAAAAAAAAAAAAAAAAAAAAAAGGCTTGGAGCCAGGCACAGAGTGAGGCTGAGGCAAAAGGACTGCAGATTCAGGGGCAGTTCAGTGAGACCCTGTACAAAAGAGGGCATAGGGTCAGCAAGATAGCTCAGCAGTCTAAAGTGCCTGCATAGGCAAGCTTGGGTAAGCATATGGACTGTGGTTCCATCCCTGGCACCAAATGCTAAAAAAGCCAGCCCAGCCCCCAGGGCAGGCTGAGCCAGTCCAAAAAGGTGTAGCACAGTAGTAGAGCACTGGAGCTCAACTCTAGTATTGAAACAAATTTAGGCCTGGGTCCTGGAGTAGGGGTTACTGGGGCTCAGACTTGGCCCTGCTCTGGGGACCCCACTTCTAGCAATGGAGGTATGAAACAGACTTACCATGAGTTGGCATTAAATTCAAAGTCACATGGAGCTCAGCAGGGGTGCGGAGGCCCCGCCATCTGTGCCAGCCCCACCCTACTACTCTGCCCACACTCACTCCTCTCCTGGTCCATGCCCCACAGCCAGGCAGCTGCAGAGTTGCGGCTGCTTTTCCTCTATGCTGGCCTCTTCCCTGGTTGCCTGGCCTTGATCTTGGCTCCCCTCTCTGATCCCTGCTATTTCTAAAATGCACCTCTGCCCATGTATTCACTGATCCCACAAACATTTTTTTTTCTGTTTTTTTGCTGTGTAGTTCAGGCTGTCCTTGAACTCTTGGAGAGCCTCCTGCCTTAGCCTCCTGAGTGCTGGGCTCACAAGTGTGAGTTGGCTGGAGAGCTGGCTAACACGTAACAACCACAAACACTTCTTGAATACTTACTATGTGCCTGGCTGTGAGATCACTGTCCTGAATGAATGACACAGGACTCTCTGCCCTGGGGACCCTATGTCTTTGACCAGTCCCCCTGGTAACTCTAAGCGATCTCCCAGGAATCTGCCATCCTCCAGCCTCACTTCCCTTCTCTTACCATCTGATCCTTACCCTCATGGATTCAGGTGAGCTCATTGCTAAGACCCATTTTAGGCACCTCCTGCTCCACAGAATCTTTCTGATCTTCAGCTGCAGTGGATATTCCTGTCTCTGGGTTCTTCTGGGGGCCTGATTTTAGGGCCTGAGGCTTTCTTTTCCTTTCCCCCTTTAATACTGGGTATGACCCCTGAGCCTCCAAACAAACAGCGCTATGTACCTAAACTTACTTATTTTTTATTATTTATTTATTTAATTTGAGAGAGGGTCTCACTAAATCACTAAATTGCCCAGGCTGGGTTCAAGCTCAAAATCCTCCTGCCTCCGCCTCCCAGAACGCTGAGATTACAGGCATTCATCACCACACCCAGCGTGGGCCCTAGGCTCTTGTCCCAGATATTTATTTTTGAGATCGTCTCTCTCTTCCCAAATTCTGAGTTTCTGTCATATTTGTCTTTCATATTCCCCATATAAGCTCATTTGAAATGTTTGTTGAATAAATAAATGAGTCAGGGAGTGAACAATTCCAGAAACAAGCTTGCCGGAAACTTGGGATCAAAGGCTAGGCGTGGTGGCAGCAAGAAAACACTAGATGGCGACAGAGAGTAAGAGACATAGCTAGCTGTGATGGTGAAGGACTGCGGGGGGCGGGGGGCGGGGAGCGGGGCGTCCAGCCCAGCGTGGAGGCCCAGGCTCAGTGCCCCCCGCCCCCCACCTCTTATCCCCCACCCCCACCCTCACCCCCGCTACCTACAGAAGAGGTGCCTGTTGCCCATGGAAGGACGAAAGGAAACCAGGCCCCTGGGCCTCCCACAGCCTGGGGCTCAGCCTGAACTCTGCAGCTACCAAAACAGGAAACTGATCGGCCTCAGTGCCAGGGAAGGGGCGGGGTAGAGGCTCCAGTGCTTTCCTGGCGTGTAGCACAGCAGGCCCTCTCTGGGTCACTCCTCTGATGGCCCACAGGGACCCCATCCTTCCCCTCCTGGCACACAGCACTGGAGAGGCTCCTCCGCCTTCCTCTCCTCCTCCTCCTTTCTTCTTTCCCTACTCCCTTTCTCCTCTTTATTTCCCCCCAGCTCTCTGGGTTGAACCCAGAGCTTCACACCGAGCTACATCCCCAGCTCTTTTTAATTTTGAGGCAAGATCTGCCTAAGCTGCCTTCACGGGGCTCCAACTCTCAACCCTCCTGCCTCAGCCTCCCAGAGTGCTGCGACTAAGGTGTGAACTGACTACCACACCTAGCTTTTCTTTCTTCTTCATCAGTTTCCTACAGCCCCAAAACCTGAGCAGACACTACACATGCCCACTTGGGGTGCCCAGCTGGAATGCCCATCTCCTGCCTCTCTGAGATGCTTCTGAAGGCCCTGAGAGCCAGCCAACCTTTCTCAGCAGAGGTGTGTCCAGTGAACAGGCTTGATCCCAGCTCCTGCCCTCCTACAGACCACTCTTCTCACAGAAGGCCCAAAACATAAGGTGCCCCAGCCCAGGGTCACCTGTCTCCACTGCTACCTGCCTGCTGTCTAGTGCTCCCTTAGAATGAACCCCCAAATTCATCCTAGGCCAGGTTCCAGGTACTCTTAACTCCTACGGGGTTCATGTTCTTATCCCCACCTGCACTGCTAAATATGGGGCTGGGGAGATGGCTCAGTAGAATAAGCACTTGCCTGGCAAGCACAAGGGCCTGAGTTCAATCCCCGGTTCTGCACAAAAAGAAAGAAAAGAAAAAAGAAATTATTAGTGGTGGTAGACTCTTATAATCCCAGTCTAGAAGGCTGAGTTAAAAGGCTCACAAAATTGAGCCCCACCTGGACAATTTAGCAAGTTAGCAAAATTCTATCTGTAAAGAAAATAATAATGATAATACTCAACTGATTTTCTTTCTTTCTTTCTTTCTTTCTTTCTTTCTTTCTTTCTTAAAGAAATGACCTCCCTTTGTATTCTGGACTGGCCTTGAACTCACTTTGTAGACCAGACTGGCCTCAATTTGAATTGATCCTCCTGCCTCACCATCCCAAGTGGTAGGATTACAAACATGTACTATCATCTCTGGCTGTTTCTTCTTCTTCTTCTTCTTCT